TCAAGATCATTAATGAATATAACAAACAGCAGAGGGCCTACAGTGATTTACTTGCATATATATATATATATATATATAAATATATTTCATGTAAATCCACAATGAAAACGTGGATAAGATAAATCTTGATAAAGTCACACGGGAAAATGGAAACAACGGAGTACCTTAGCTTTCGTCTTTATTCAAGACATCTTCAGAGGCAACTGGATTACATGGACAGAGAGAGGCTGGTAGGTTTCTTGTTTTATGACGAATAATGTTGGGGACAGGACGCTCCCCTAGGGCACTCCACTTTCGAGGTCTAGGGTTGTCCCGAGATAAGTACCAATTTGCATCTGTGCTCTTCTGTTTCGGAGGTAGTCACACAAGATTCTCTCGCTTTCGGTGGGCAGGTGTATTTATAAAATTTTGTACTTTAGGCCTGTGTGCCACACTTTATCAAAGGCTTTTGCCACGTTTTTCAGGACAAAGTGTACTTGCTTTACGTGTTGTTTTTCTTTGGCGATGATATCTGTTATTATAGCTATTCCTTTCTCATGAAGCCATGTTGTCTTGGATTGTGTTTATTGTTTGTATCGAGGAATTTTTGAAGCCTGTTGTTTATTCTGCGCTTTTAGGAGTTTGCCAGTTATTTCCATTAAAGGTATTGGTCTGTTCTTGGATTTTTGTATTGGATCCTTGCCTTCTTTGGGTCTGTAGATCATTTTAGTGCATTTAAGGGCATTGGGGAAGTAACCAGCTGATAAGGACTGAATTGTATATATTTAGGAGTGCTTGAATTGGTCTGTTAGGTAGGTTTAATAACATATTTCGAGTTATGCCATTTATTCCAGCGGACTTTTGCTAAAATTTGCGTAAGCTGTGTAGTAGTTCGTCGTGTCCTATGACTGTCTGGTCCTAGTCTATCTGGATTCCTGTATGGGCGTCAGTCTATTGTTTCGCTCTCTTAGCTATTCCTCAATGACTTCTTCGTGTTCTTTGTCAAAATTGACATTTCCTTCTGATATTCTGAAGATATTTTTCCATTCTCTACGAAAAGCCTCTTCTTTTTTATGGTATGCATAAAGTTTTTTCTCTGTTTTGGTCTTTTATGTACTTTACTGTTTGTTTTTTGGTGCCAAGTAATCTGTTAATGTTTTGCCAGAATGTCTTTGTGTCCTTTGTCGTATCTCTGCTTTTGATTAAACTGTTCCACTTTTCGTTGTTAATTTTTATATATTTTTCTTGGATGTCATGCTGAATTTCCCTTGCGTTTTGGAGTACTGTGCTCTAGTGGGTCCTGCTTGTTGGATATACGTATGTCCTTGTATTACTGTAATGTACTTGTAGCCTCTTTAATACTTCAGTGGGTTTATTACTTGGAAGGGTTCTGTATGTCATTACTGGGGTTGTTTAGTTGATTGTTTGCTTTATGGCGTTGTGTAACTTATTTAGTTGTTTATCGATTTCTTCAAGTGTTACTTGTTTTACATTCCATAGTGGGTAGTTTTCCAGTAGTTCCTTGTATTTTATCCAGTTTGTTTTGCTCATCTGGATTTTTGGTGGTATTTGTATTTGTTTTGGGCTAATTGAGATTATGAATATTATCGGGATATGATCACTTGAGGTAATGGGGCCTTGGTCTATGTGGTAGTTTAGGAATGTTTTTTTTTGTTACATATGCTTTTGTCGGGTGTTGAGACGCTGTTTGGTCCCATCCATGTGGTGAAGTACAGTCCCAGGTGTAGTAGTCTTCCGGTGTATGTTATTCTTTCTAGTGCTGTACCTAGTGCTGTTGTTATTGTTGCCATTGTTAAATATGCGATGTTTAGCATTAAAATCTCCCAGGATGTACATTTGGTGTATTCTAGTTTATTAGTTTCAGGAGGTCTTCGATAGGAAGGAATGGTCTTGGGGTAGGTAAGTTGTTGCATTTACTATTTCGTCCTGAGTTGTCTGTAGCTTGATGGCAATGAGTTTCACTGTTAAAGTTGTCTATTTGATTTTTTTATTCACTGCTGCTGCCACTCCATCGTGTTTTTGTCGCGTTTGTTCGGTTGGCGAGTGTCATAGTTGAATATATATATATATATATATATATATATATATATATATATATATATATATATATATATATATATATATATATATATATATATATATATATATATATATATATATATATATTTTTTTTTTTTTTTTTTTCAGGTTCGCCCTGTGCACTTATTAGTATTATGTCCGGACTGATTTCGTTGTATATGTTGCAAAGCGATGTTTCGCATGTACAGGTATTCCAGTTACTGGCAATGTGCTGCAGGATCTGAGTGTATTCAATTGAAGATAATCCATTATTTCTATTTTTTTGAGGGTTGTAGTTGAGGCGGTGATCTCATTTCGCGAAGTCCCGATGTTTTCCTATTTAGTTCTGCTGATGAGGTTACAGTGGAATCTTTTGTGCGAAATTTTTATTTTGACCTAATCATTCTCCAAACAATGCCTTGATCATACCGTTCATCGGTGTACTGCCATACAGTATCATTTGATGTTACGAAATCCTCGATGAGTTTTCCTGAAGGTTTTTGGTGTGGTGAGAATGGTATTGTTCACGTTTGATAGAACGTAAGTCCTTTATCTGTTGCGTCTTCAGGTATTGACGGGGTAGGTGTTGTTTCGTATGGAGCTTCCTCCTTTTTCTTGGTCATTGTTTTCCCTGTTTGTCCCGTGCCTTGTGTATTCTTCGGTCTCTTGGCTTCTCGTTTATTTCTCCGGGTTGTGTGGCCTTTTCAAGTTCGGTATCATGGGTTGCTGGTGGTGGTGTTGTTTCTTTGGGAACGTCTGTTCTTTGCCTGAAGTGTTCAGTATGCTCTGGAGTGCTGTTGACGTGTAGGAGGTTTGCTGATTTTGGGTTTTATGAGAAGTTCATTCTTGGCATGTTGTTTATTTCCTGCATTCCATTAAGTTCATCGGCATAGGAGGTGAGCATGTAGCATGCTCACCATTACCTTGAAGTGATCTGTTTCGCTAAGGTTTACCACCGTGTCGATGGTTGGCTTTGTTACCTCCTTTACCACCCTCTTTGCTATTTCTACATATGTATGTTGATCTTTGTTCTTTTCATTTTGCTCTTCTGCATCCTGTTTGTTTGTATTTTATGAGGGTCTTTTCAATAGGGCAAGACATAGCCATGGTTGGGTAGGTGTGGTATACATCTTCGTTCCTTTTGCAGTTTACACAGCCTTTTTGGTGTTATTGTGCTGGGTATAAGCGTGCCCTTCCTCTGCACAGTTGAAGCAGTATTTTTTATCCTTTGTAGAATGTTCTTCAAATTTGTTACACGTGAAGCCATTTGGAGAACCCAGTCTGTCATGGCCGTTTTTTTTAGGTAGATCTTTAGTACTTGAGTGTAGTCTTTTACCTCTATTACCTTATTACCTCTTCAATCTTAAGTCCTTCATTTTTGTGCTCTATATCTGTCTTCAAGAATTCTGCCTTTTCCCCACCTACTTGAGAATCGTTTCCTTTCGAAAACCGATCTCCTGGCTTCAAGCGTGGTCGTACCGACCACGCTAAGTCCATTCCTGACAAAGAATTGTGTTACCTTCTTGGTAAGCAGTTTGTCTGCATCGTTTTCATTGCGGCAAATGACTTTAAATCCTTCGTTCTGGTTGAACACCCTATTGAAGGGCACACCTAGCTCAACACTTGATCTCTCAACAGGTTTATTTTGTCTTTTACTTTTATTTTCAGGTTAACTGCCGTTTTACACGTAGAAGGTTATTGGAAACCCTTCTTTGTTATTACCAAAGACAACCCCCGCACAATGGAGTGACTGCACGATCATAGCCGTCACTATGGGCACGGCTTGTTTCTCCCCGAACCCCAATGGCCACACACAATCCCACACAGCTGTGAGGTGTACGCCACTGGAGGGACTCCGGCACAAATAATTAAAAGAAAAAAATATAAGATGAAAAATTTTGCAGGTGCCTCGGTCAGGGTAAGTAATAAGAAATCTTAGGGTGGAGAAAAAGCCCTCCAACCACATCAAGAAGGCCAAGAAACAGCTGCCTTCCAGCAGGAGTGTGGGTCACTCGGCTTGTTTGGAGAATACTGGCCAATTCGCCTTTCGGCTATTTCGGTCACACACACTACCTGTAGGGAGAAGAGTTGCTATTGGCAATCCTGAGTGTTCGTGAGGATGTCTACACTATTCTTGTGTTGTGTGAAGGTGTTATACAGGGACTGTCGAGGTCATTTACTCAATTAAGCCGGTTCTAAGAGTTGTTCAGATTGGCGAGGTCGAAGTACGGTCTGTGATCACGTCGTGAATCGGCTGTTCAGGTAATCGAGCTACGAGAGGTGTGGGAGGGTCATTAATATCCTCAGTGATTACGTCATACTTTTGTTTCTCAGATGTGATTGGTTAATTGATGGCGCTAACCGATGCTTCCAGAATATGACGAGACTGGCGCGGCGGGCGGAGCTCACCGGAAGTTTCAGGAGTTTTTACGAGGGTTACCATAATAAGGGAGGGGGGAGTTACACTAGACCTGCTACATCGTCAAATAAAGCTTTTAAAAAACAATAACGTCTTTGCTGAGCAGGAATAATTATTTTTATTCATTGATATAAATTAATGATAATTAATTCGCATATTATATATTTTTTCATATTTAATATAAGACGTCGTTTACCATCATAATATTGCCAAATTATACTTAAAGTAGACTAGGTAAGGTTAGGTTAGATTAGTCGAGATTAGATTAAGTTTTATGTGAAATATTTATTAGTATGTGGGTTATGACCGTTTATGGCCAGCTGAGAAGTTTCTAAAATACAGATACTGTATACATAAAATTTATCGGTAGTTTGAGAGGCAGGAGAACCTTGAGATCCAAGATTTGTCTAGTAAAGGAACAGATATGAATGTTAGTGAGCATATATAGGCACATGTTTGAGAACTTCAGTTCGTTGTCAACATACACAAACAGTTTCTTTAATCTTTTCTTTTTCCTCTACAGATGTGACCTTAAGAAGCCGTATTTCTGTTAGCAGCCACACCAATGCCAACAGGTCCAATAACAGAAGTGGAGGCGGAGACAACAGAAAAGTAGCAACAGAGTTAAGAAGAGGAGGAGGTGTGCATTTCGTACCATCAGCTTCATTTTACAGTGAGAAGTCTTTGTTGCAAGTTCTCCTGTCTCATACCAGTGATATCTAGCTACGTCCAAGTGATCGGAGAGAGCCCGTCCAAGTGTTCATATCTACCATTCGTTCTACAGCCTTTGTTCACTGTAATCGACACAGTACTGATAGACAGAAACAGTGACACCATATTTCAAGAATCGCAGAACAGCCGTCCAAACTCTAGAACACCTGGGTTATATCCCTCTTCACCCTTCCCTCTGACGTTCTAAAAACGTCACTCGGCGGAGGTCTTCAACCCAGCCGTCCACATCCCAAAAGTGAAGTGCGTGTTGTCTATGACACCTTAGTGGTTTAGGATCAACGTGACGGATATATTCAACGCCGCACTGAATTTACAATATCAGTGCCGCCTCCACCACCTTTACACTACGATCTTTACCACCACCACTGTTAGCAGTCATGATGCTGTGGGTGAGGAAGCAGCGGGTGTTGCCACTGGTGGTGGTGCTCCTGGTAGTAATGATGCTGGGCTATATCGTCTTCGCCTCCAACTACTGCAGCAATCTGAATCGCGGTGAGTCACGCCTTTCATGATAAATCTATTCCTTCAACTAAATACCACTACTGAAATTAGAATAACTTTTATACTACTATCCCTTTTGGGGTGCTCGTACCCCTTCCATGCTGAGTGTACCCCTTCCATGCTGAGTGTACCCCTTCCATGCTGAGTGTACCCCTTCCATGCTGAGTGTACCCCTTCCATTGTGTGTGTACCCATACCATGATGAATGTACAGTACAGTTGCCAGCAAAAGTTCTCCTAACTGTATACCCGCCCCCCAAAAAAGTGCGTGGACCCTCACAGCGTCAAACGACGACACAATATGACAAACTGGACGAAATATCATGGAAAGGACTGTTTCACATTCGTAGCCCTGCTTTCCTAATATGGCAGTAATTGGGATATCGGTTATTTCTCTCATAAGTTTGTATGTTCACAATATTTGTATCTTGGAAAGTAAAGCATTTATGAAACCACTTTTATTACATTTGCTACGTTAATAATTGATATAAGCACCCCCAGCCTCTATTAAGCTGTTAAGTCTCTTGGGCATGGATTCCACTAACTCGGTAGTGTGAGGACTCGTCCGGCGGGATTTCGCAACTCTTCCCACGCCTGTAGGGGGTAGTGCACTCACGACGACAACTTTCGCGCTTCCTGGGCAGTGCTGTTGTTTGGGGGGAATTCGTCTGCTAAACGGATGAATACGCTACACAACGGATGTGACGTCACATACGGAGGAGTTTTCGGTATTTGTTTTTTTTTCCAATTTAAGGGTACAAATTCGCAATAACAAAAGGGGACATGAAATTCAGATATCATTCGATAATTTTCCTTATTTTACATAAGGTTAGTAACATAATAATCTGTAGAAAGCAGAAGGATTGTACACTGATAAGTACTTCCAAGGTTTTCGTCGGGCAACCAATATGTAAGGCTCCTTATGATATCGGCGAGTATTGTCTCACATTTGGTCTAATTGTATTTATGATTATTTAGTTTATTTACTAATTTTGGGGAAGTGTGCCATGAACCAGTTTCGTGCTCTTTCATATGTAGAAAACAGAAACTGATATTATTCAAGATAATCTACTTAATATTTCTTTATACACACCTGTATTTACGACCCTGGATACGGTTATGTCAAACTATAACGAATTAACTCAGACTAAATTGTCTGTGTATTGAATCTCATAGTGCGAGTTCCTTTGCGATTTATTTACTTATTTATTTATTTATTTAACATATATTGATTTTTTTTTACGGGGATTAGCCCACCCGGGCACAGGCCTTTGACCCACATCGGGCCCTGGGGGGCGAAAATGTAATAATGATAATAATAATAATAATAATAATAATGATAATTCATAATATTGTAAATAATTTATAATAAAAATACACATTTAAAAATAAAATAATAATAATAATAATAATAATAATAATAATAATATTAATAATAATAATAATAATAATAATAATAAAGAATCATAAAGAAATACAAATATGAAAACAAGATCAAGAGTGAGAAATGCTATATGTATGTTGTGTTGTCAGTAGTAAGGGAAACAATTGAGGTAGCCCCTTTATAATATTTATACTGTATATACTTGTCACACTTGCCAGATGCTTCTGGTGTCATTGTACAGGGGTACCTAGTGACAGCACTAGGATCCCGCTTCCTCTATCAAGGAATAAACAATTGAAATTGAAATTGAAACAATTGAGACCGTGAAATTGTGTGTAAATGAGGCACAAAGTCAGATCAGCAACCTGGGACTTAGTCACAATTTTCGTGATGCCATATGGCAGCAGGGTCTACCATTAGACAACACATTATGCTTCTAATATCTTCCCAGGCAGTAGTACCTCCCTGTTTGGTAGCTGCCTACTACCTGCAATTACTGCCCAATAACATCTTTGGTGTTGCTTATGCATTAAGAGGCCTTGATTCGTGCAGTCTTCAATCTGTCTTGGTAATTGGTGTATTTACTTCGACCAAGGCATATTGTCAGGTTTGTCATAAATACCTAACGGCCGAGATATTGTAGGGTTTCGTGATATTATGTTGTCTAGCACTCAGGATGGATGGAAACTCTAAGGTGGTTTTCTTATATAATATAATTTATATGGTAGACAGTCTGGTGCTGGAGATGCCGTGTGGTGAGGAGCTGCTCAGTAGACACGTTCGGTGAGTAGCGTGTTGAAGGAGGTAGATGTGCAGGAGCTTCGTTAGAGAAGATGTTGCCTGTTGCTGGCCTCCAGGTTGAATGAGAGCTGGACAGCGAGGAGCTTGCTTGGAGGAGGTGTTGCGTGTTCAGGTACGTAGAGTAGAATGAGAGAGCTGGTTGGTGAGGACGCTCAGAGAAGGACAGCTGGTGGGTCGCCATGCTCGCCGGCGAGAGCGAGGACCGCCAGGCAGGCGGAGGAGAAGCGAGGGCCGCCAGGCAGCGGCGGAGGAGGAGGTGTTGCATGTTCAGGAACCGAGGCCAGAATGAATCTTACGATACGATACGAAGTCTTTAGTTAAGAGGTGAAAGAAGATTATTAGGGGTTGAAGGAAAAGTGGTGAAACTGAAATACAGTAGGAGTAGAAAGAATCTGGGCTCAACCAAATCGCTTCATCTTTCTTATTGGTGTTTTGTCTTTGTTCTACTCCCTTGGGTCGTCAGACCTTTGTATTAATATTGGTTTATTTATATAATGCTGCTTATTATTATTATTTTTATTATTGTTGGAGTTAGTGAGCCCGCCCAGGTCCTTGTGTAACTGGGAGGGTAGTCACATTTTTTTTTTTTTTTTTTTTTGAGGTGTTAGTTAAGTGTTAGTTGTGTTAGTCTAAAGGTACACTGTATGGAGAGGCCTGCCAGGTTCTTAGTGGAGCTGGTTGGTCACTCTCATCTTTATTCCTCTATTAATGTTTTATGTGTAAATGTGTATATTGGGGCAGGAGGTGGTTCAATTACTTCTTCCTGGCTGATGTAGCTGGGAGGGTAATCACATTATTATTATTATTATATTATTTTTATTTATTTATTTTTTTTTGAGTTAGTGAGCCCGCCCAGGTCCTTGTGTAGCTGGGAGGGTAGTCACATTTTTATTTTTTTTTTTTTTTTTTTTTGCTAAGATGTTAGTTCAATGTTAAATGTTAAATATTAGTTATGTTAGTCTAAAGGTACACTGTATGGAGAGGCCTGCCAGGTTCTTGTGGAGCTGGTAGGTCACTCTCATCTTTTATTCTCTCTATTAATGTTTTATATGTATATTGGGGCAGGAGATGGTTCAATTACTTTCTTCCTGGCTGATTTAAACCAACTGTGTTCTTGGAATTCTTCGTTGTCTATATTATTTATCCAGTTTTGATATGTTTCTGTGTTAAGTTCAGTCACTTTTTTCCAAATATTTGCAGCTTTGTTGTGTATTTCTACATTGATTGCTAAGAGGTTTGCTCTCTTGTGTAGCTGTTCATTATTGATGTGGTCTGTATATTTTATGTTATATATAAATCTGAGGGCTATATTTTGTACTGTTTGTAACCTTTTAATGCACGATTTTACTAAGGGTGTTCAATGGGATGGGTGGGTAGTCCATAATTGATTTGACAAGGGCAATATAAATCTTTCTTTTGTTATTAATGCTAAGGTTCTTAAAGCGTTTTATTTTTGATAATCTTATTCTTGCCTGTCGTTCTTTATCTTTTAAGTATGTTATATATCCTCTTTTTGTTAGTTTTAATCCAAGCATCCTGCCTTCAGTGTCGTATGGGTATAGTTCCTGGTCGACTATTACTGGACTTGTTTTAATCTTGGCTATTGGTATTATCTTGAATTTGTTCTTATTTGTCCTGATTTTCCATTTTTTCTCAAAATCATTTATGTTTTTTATCGCTCTTACCGTGTAGAGTGCCATAAATTGAGTTGATTTTCCTGGGTATGATACTATTTGAGTAATATCATCAGCAAACATTACATATTCGCTAAAGGGGGTAGGTTGAGGTGTGTCTGAAGTATAAATTGTATATAGTGTTGGAGAAAGGCATCCTCCTTGAGGTACTCCACTCTCAAGATTAAACATAGTTCCCATAAAGTTTCCAATTTGAATTTGTGCTCTCCTATCATCTAAATAGTTACACAATATTCTTAGCAAGTATTCGTTAAGTCCCAGTTTTAATATTTTATATTTCAAGCCCAAATGCCAAACTTTATCAAAAGCCTTAGAAACATCCCTTAAAATTATATTGATCTGGTTACCCTTGCTTTTTTCTATTGCAATTATTTCCGTTATTGTAGCTATTGCAGTTAGGGTATTTCTATTGGGCATAAATCCATGTTGTCTGTTGTTAGTTTTCCCATGTTGTGTTAAAAAGGCTATAAGTCTTGAATTTAATATTTTTTCCAATAGTTTCCCGGTAATTTCTAATAAAGATATTGGCCTGTAGTTTAATATTTCCTTATTGTCCTTACCCTCCTTAGGAATAAATATCATTTTAGCATATTTTAGTTTGTCTGGAAAGTAACCAGTTATTAAGCATGCGTTATAAATGTTTAATAGTGTATTTAAAATGTTTTCAGGTAGATTCATGATCATATTTCGTGTAATACCTGTGAGCCCAGGGCTTTTTCTTAAATTTCCTCAGACAGTGCATCATTTCCTCCCATGGTTATTATTTCTGATTATTAGGTAATAAGTTATAGTCTATATATTGCCTTGGGGTATTCCTATGTATTTGTCTTCCCATTTCTTCTTCTCTATCCCACCTCGTGTTCACTATCAAAATCTTCATTTTCCTCATCTGATATTTTTAAAAACTTTTTACCCATTCCCTTTGAATGCTGACTCTTGTTCATTTTCCTCGTGCAATTTTGTTCCATTTTGGTCTTTAATGTATGGTGTTTTTTGCTTGTTGTGCCCCATCATCTTGTTTATGGAAGTCCAAAATGTTTTTGTGTCTTTAGTCATGTCAGCCGCCATTATAATATTCCATTTTTTATTGTTTGCTTCCTTACATGCGTCTCT